CCTTGTTAAATAAGTCACAAGAACTTGGTGTTAGATCAAGAATACCAACTTGTACCTGATAATTTTGAGTATTCTCATTACGGGTTTGCTGGATAATGTAGATATATTATAATAGGGAGAAGTTACAGGTTAATCACTTCTGGGAGTTAGAGGGTTAAGGAATACAAAAACCTAGAAATTATATACTTTGGACCACTGAGAGTTGCTGTTCATCGTCACCAAGCTCTCCAGTTTCAGGAAGAGGTTGACGACACTTCAGGTTGGTTTCCCTTTGGATAGAAAAACATTTACCCAGCTTACTTAGTAAACTAAAGGTTACCATCATGATGATAACTTAAAATACAGATTGGCCTGCAATTTTTTCACTTGTCAAAGTGACAAAAACTGTCTCAGCTTGAAGGAAATATACAGTGGGAGAGGAATACACACTGCCTGATAATCAAACAATTTTCAAAAGACTGCTCAACTTTTCAGTAGATAACTAACTTTAGTTAAAAGTAATTGTATACAGTTGAACATGAAAACCTCAATTATCTGGATTTTTCCATTATTTGGACTTACTTCTCTGATCCCATTTTTTCACAAATATTAGTTAGTCACATTTGAGATCCCTTAAAACTTTTTCCTATCAAACAAAGGGGATGAACTAAAACAATTTTGACTCTATTCTATTCATGCAGCTTCAAAGAATCATCATAGAAATGGTGACCTACACACACTGTAGCTGCTTAACACAAACTGATTTACATTAACATTTTAGGTTGAAAAATGCTGTTGTTGTTTAATGTTTTTGTAAATACTTCTGAATCAGTAAATTTTAGCAATCATGCACGATGATTTGAGAATGTTCTTTAACTGTTCTTTGACACTGCTTAAATTATGATTGGTAGTTAATATTATTTTTGGCTCATTATTATTCATATTTTCGATTTTTCAGATTCACGACTATTCAGCCCAGTCTCCACCAGTCCAGATAATCGAGGTTCAGTTGACTGTACATGCACATTAAATGCAATTTTTTTTTGATAAGATAAGAAATCACTAACTTCAAAAAATTTGATGTCCTTACCCATCTAACTCGGCAGTCTCAATGTAACACAATCCATTATCTTCACTCGTGGTGAGCACAACTATATCAGCCTTGTGAATCAGAAAAAATGTTTAAAAGTCAAGAAATCTGCCAACCAGCAATCAGCTACAACCCATCCTTCGAAGTCTCCCATTTTCTTCACCCCTATATTAATTTCTCCTCGTTCCACATGTTCCACAACTCAAACATCATACTTTTGCACAACAATTTTTATTTATGAAAAATCCCAGACAAAATAAATATTAATAAGCATCTCATTTTCTCCCACTACAATGTAGCTTGACTAGTAATTTCCTTTTTCCAAATTAAGACAATACCATAATGTTAATTGGTAAACAAAGGAAAAAGGAATTCACACTACATTTAATTTATTTCAACTAAAAATCTTTTTAAATTATTGTAAAATTTAACACAAAAAAACTATGCTGGGTTCAACAATCCTTGGCCTACATGTAACCTTGGTAAAACTAGTTACCGGTACTAAATACAACTCACAGGGATTTGCTCATTGTTGTCTATTCGAAGAACTTCACCAACTTGAAGATCCATCCAATTTTTTTCCTTTGGCCTAAGAAAAAAGGGAATTAACAAGTTGTGTTTGTTCAGTTGTATAATATATGCTCAGAGGAAGCTGAAAATGCCCATGCTGCAATTGTCATGCAAAATTCTGAGTGAGGAGAATGAGAAAAGATAACAGTTGATTCTGCTAAAAGGGTTTTTTTTTTCACAAGTGAGCAGTAATACATTATGATCATGGTTACAATTAAATTCATTGCTTCACAGAAAACATATCTTACCCATTGTCAGTAAGAATGTTTGCCTTTCTGTTATTGACTGCTCTGTCACTTTTATGCCGCTTCTGTAGTGTGAAAATGTGAATGTGTCAGTAGGCTTTATTCTTGACATTCCATTAAGAGTTTGCAATTGCACAGTTGCAAGTTGCAACACTTACACTACCCCTCAAAATAATTATAACTGTTCCCAAACTTGTATTGACAACATGGCAAACTATACAATCATGTAGAACATGCATACAGTGTTCACATCCTTTTTCAAAATCAAATTTCAAGGACTTTTCCATGAATCGGACTGGTTTTTCAGACCTGAAGTCCAGTCCTGGAAAATACCAAAATAAAATTCCAGTGTACTTCTCAGGTTTTCCAGGACCCGTACAAACCCTGCGCATACTGATGTTAGAGTATAAAGGGTTTTCATTAACTTACAATGTCATCAGCAGCATCTTTTATTCCTGTTGCAGCCAAAACACAAATGAGAGGAACAGCTGTAGCTTCTGGACTCAATGCAGTGATTTTTGGAATAGACTAGGATGAAAAAAAAAAAAACAACAACATAGAGGCTTGCATTGTCCAAGACAAGAAAAAAATAAAACAGCATGGTTCATAGGGATAAATAACTATTATTAGATGCATCATGCATGATTGTACATCTAATTAACACAATGGTAACTCTGGGTAAAAGGGTACAGGTTTCCAAGATAAAATTTACGAATAATCAAGCAGCTGATGGCCACGAAGTCTCCAAGCCTCTTCCATAGCCTCAGTCTAAGGTGATGAGTGAAAAAAACAGTTGCTTGAGCAGGCCTGTACCAATTCTAACATTGAGAGATGAAGTCTAGCACAGGTAAGAAGCCTTAAAAAAACAGTGTTCAGTTTTCAACTTTTCTAAGCAGCAGTGCATGTCTTTCACTCCAGAAACACTTCACACTATGGTTGACATCATGTAATTATTTCCCTTCCCAGTCTGTTTGTAACTAGTGCAACAGATTTCTGGAAGCCTAGTGCTCAAAGCTTGGCTGTAGGTAATTGCCGTCCATAACATTCTATGTTGTTGGCTGTGCTGTATTCGATTTACGTTTACATTTATTCTGCCTCGCTTCCGTTCATGATTCGATGTATAATCACTTCCGGTAATGGCGACGACACATGTTAGAAAATATTAAAAGTTCTGTGTTGAAATCCAAGAATATATCTCCGTTTCTCATGCCATCCGAACACCACATTGGCCCAAAGCTAAGTAATAAATAAATGTAGATAATTCTATTTCAGATACGCATAAAAAGTACAAAAATTAAATAAAATGTTATTTCACTCACCATGATAATGATTTGCAAAATGAAATAAAGATTGGCAACCCTGCGGAATTGCTCAAATAAGTTGAGGGGTAGAAAAGTGAGAAGGCTGTATTTTGATGTCCTGATGTAATTGTTGACATATTGGAATTGTGCATTATACTCATGGTCATTTGTCCTCAGCTGCCTCTCCTTGGCTGAAAAGAGATAAATACATCTTATTAGACACTTAAGTACTAGGTAGTTGATTGCTGAGTATTTTTATGAATTGAGCCATATTTTGATGAGTCCGCACGGCTACAAACAACTAGCAAAAATGTTCAGCAATACTACTTACAGACCAAAACATCTAATAAGTTGTTTATTATCTAACTGCTTTATTTTATATGCATTTCTTACAAGGAAGGAGAAGAAGAGAAGAGGAGTGAACAAAATAACCAACTATCCCACATCGCCAGATATTTGTAGTTGACTTGAGTATTATTTGTACTCTTATAAGTGCTGTTGGATAATAAACAGCTAATTTTTCAAAGTTGATGAACCTAAAAATAATTGTTACCTCAAAACAAGAAGCCATAGATCTCTTGAGAATTCTAGGGGCCTTATAAACTTAAGTACTTACACTAAATAAGCTGAGCACTTTGGAAAAACTCTCATCGTTAATTTGAACAGTGTCCTAGTTACATTAATTTGATAAAACCAATCTGTATAATAAATTCAGATACAATTTATAAGTGTCTTCCTCACGCAGGACTGCCACCCACACTGACCAGTTTACCAAGATAAAAAAACATCTTCTAATCAAGTGGAAATTTCAGTCCAGTTCACAACGTATAAAATTTTAGCCCACTACTTTACCTCACATGTACCAGAAACAGTTTGTTTGGTTAGCAATAGAATTGACATTGAGCATGATCTTGCAAGTTTTATCAGCATGACCAAAAGCTCTTGATTAATGAGCAATGTTCTAGCCCAGTGGTACAGGCACCAAGATTGTAGCAGCCAGGATCAACCCTGCCCTCTGAATATATATGCATGTATGAAGATTTTAACTGATGCAAGGTGAACTTTCAAGGTAATCCAAATTAAGCTCAACTGTCAGATCACATATTCAAACCCCCAGATTATAGCACAATTTATATGTATGTAGAAGGTATATTAAGGAAACTGAAACCAAACATGGTGACAGACTAAATTAAAGCAAAAATAAATTTATGCACAGCAGCTTACTTTTCAACAATAAAAAAAAAATTACATACACTGTACATGCCACAGTTTAGGAAAAAATCATTTCGAACGGACAAATTTGTAATTTTCAAAACATTATCTACAACAAGGCATATGCAAATTAATTTAACCACATTTACAAATAAAAAGATCGAACCAGTAGTAGAACAAAAAAATATGTTAAAAAGATGCATAATCTCTCTTGTAAAAACAGTGTTAATTCAACAATAAGTAGCATGTAAAATTAAAGTAAGCCAACCAAGATTAATTCATTCGCTGGCCCATTTGATACTACCAGCCCGTGAAATAAGATATCATACCAAACTTTTTTAAATTTTTTTTTTCCGATAAACTTTCTTTTCGGTTTTCTTGTTTTGCTTTCATAAATATATTAATATGAGGACGATCGCTCTCTCTTGCAAAATCAAATAATTGTATTTCATGGGTACCTCGCGTATTTGTTTCAGAACAATGAGATCCTCCTTTAAAGCACGGCTTTAATATTGATAATCGGAAAATTTTCACTGTGGCCAATGCAATATCCTTAACTTTTCTCGAAACGGAAAATACGTGTGCATAACAAACTTGGTCTTAACGCGTCCTGCCGACATTGCCGCGAACTAACCTTTGGTTGTTAGGGAAACTGGAAACAGCTGCTGCAGAGAAATAACACTTCCGACCGTTCACACGATGAACGACTTAAAACTAAGGACGAACAATCATACAGTACCTTCTTGGTTATCTTCTGATCTGCACAAATGCATTTTCAAAGACGTGAGCCTGGTGGTTAATGTTAAACCCCAATAACAGTTGTCTTGAAGTTAATTGTTCACCAGGCTGGCCAAACTGTGGTATTTACCGCTGTTAGTTGCGTTGTCGGTTCACCACGAGTTAATGACCTATGTGTAAACTAAATAGCTGGCTGATCATTATGAAACAAACGTGAAATCTCTTAAAATCCACTTCTTCTTCCGATTCACGCATATTAACCACAGAAATATAATCTAAGCAAATATTCACACTACAATCTCTGTTTCAGTTTCTCTCTTTTTCTTCTGCACTAGTTGAAGGACTGGACTCCAGTCAAGTAGAAGACCGCGAAACGCCGCAAAGCCTTCGGATCGGAAAGCAGTATAAAACATGTGTGGTAGGCAGAAAAAAACAGCTACATATACATCCCTACAGAACTATTTCGTGGTTACCCACTTGATATATATTGATATATATTAAGTTCTCTAAGGCCCTGTTTACAAGCAGGTAGGGTAACCGTAGTGCTAGGGTTACCCTGGTAGGAGGGTTACCCTAACGCTCCCACATTTCTTCTTTTTTTCATCGACGTGTTTACAAGGCAGCTAGGGTTACCTTAGCACTGGGGTAACCCTAGCTGAGCGCTAGGGTTATCCTAGCGCTAGGGTAACCCTAGATGCCTTGTGAACGCTCTGGTGGGGATAACTCGCCTACCCGGGACAACTTTTTACCTGTTTCCAGACCCTTTGAACATTGATAACAATGCGTGCGGTTACCAAGCATAGGTAAGTTGTCCCGGGTGGTAGGGTAACCCTACCTGTGAAATTTTGCTTGTAAACCCGGGCTATCTTTGACCCGCCTGCTAGGGTAACCCTAGCACAAGGGTTACCCTCCTTGCTTGTAAACAGGGCCTAAGGATAATCTGGTTCTAAGGTAATTAGAAGAAAAGGTTGCCGAAGAAAATCAACTTTAAAGCATTGCAATAAAAGTGTAAAAATTGAAACTATATTATACGATTGTTTTTTCTTCTGCGTAAACATTTAGACAATTTGTTGAGTTTCAAATTGGGTTTGTAAAAAAATTTAAAGATAATTCCTAAGAGACTCTGATACAATCGCAAAAAGTAATAAAGAAATGAAGCATTAGCACATTGAATGCAAATAAGTCAGCCCAAATCTCTAAGAGTCCATTATTATTTAAAATCAGCAATCAAATAATTTTGGTCGAGGCCAAATTCAAAGCCTCAACGACAACACTAGTGCCCAAACGAGCACTAGGTCATTCAAACCGAGAATGTTGGTCAAGCTCTTGCCCATAAAAAGAATAAGCCATCTGTTTTCTAAGTAAGCAATGTGAGGTCTGCAAAACATGTTACAAACTGAAGTTGATCATTGAATAAAAGGGGCAAGTTTCTAAAGAAACTGTGATGCTGCGTCGGTGTGGGAGGACAACAAGATAAATTGGTTTTATCAACTGCGTTGATAATGCAAATTGGCCACCGTAAAGAGTTTCAAAGCTGACGTTTCGAGCGTAAGCCCTTCGTCAGAGCGAATGGACGAAGGGCTAACGCTCGAAACGTCAGCTTTGAACTCTTTACGGTGGCCAGTTTACAGTATCAACTCAGTTGATAAAACCAGTCAGATATACAACCATTATTGTACGCCAAAGCATCAGCGAACATAAACATTTGGTATATGTGCACGATCCTCGCAGTAAAGCACAATTTAAGCAATAGTGAAAATCAGACCTGAAAAAATTCAGGCTTGTACGGGATTCGAACCACTGACCTCTGCGATACTAGTGCAGCGCTCTACCATACTAATGCAGCGCTCTACCAATTGAGCTAACAAGCCAACTGGGAGCAGACTATCAAATTAATTCGACATAAACCCTCTCCTTTCAGTACTGGACTCTGTTCCGTTGATGTGTCAACTTCATTACATGAGTTTGTGCGTAAATGCCTTACTTCCTCAGAAGTTGCTTTGATTGTGAATGAAAAAAGCAAATTTCAACAGCTACAGTATCTTACTTGAAACTCGGGCAGTGCGAGACTTCATGGTGAATGTGACTTCCTATCTTTCGGCCCCCTAAATCCGTGCTACCTTACTGTAGAACCACGCTAATGACGACGACGCGATGATCATTTGAATGTTGAACTTCTGTACTTCTGTTCCACTTTGAATATCCAGGCAGAGTTCAACTGCGGAAATTAAGGAGTTAACGTTATATTATCATTTGGGTGCTTAGTTTTGACACAATTTAGTTCCTTAAGATTAAGACTATGCTATTATAAGATAAGAACTTTATTTAAGTGGTATGAATACTTTAGAGTACTACTCATTAATTGGGGACATCAAAATACTACCAATATAATTCATAAGGATTAAGTAACTAGATCAAAATAAAGGTTGAGTTAAAATACAAGCTCCGGCAATAGAGAAAACAAATATCGCAAATATTTACATTTTTAAGCTTCGACGAGCACGAAAGGCAGTCCACTACACATTCTCCATTCACAAGTCTCGACAGATCTACCTGTCTAGTTTTAAATTGCCAAAGAATGTTTATAGTTCTTACGTCTGTTGCAAGTCTATTCCATAGCGACGACTTGAGCTATTGGCCTTCCCGTAATCCTCGCGAAACTCTCTCCCGAGGCGTGCGTATAATTATTAGTGAGGTCTAGAGCGAGCGATAAGTGTGACCTTTCCCTGCCTCTGAGAAGTTCTTGTAAGTTTTTTTTTCTAAGGCAAGGATCATAGGGGCCCCCTATATCAGACGTGATCCATTCAAACAGAATGTTCGGAAATTTTGTTTCGAAACTGGATGGATTAGTTCGATCAGTCCAACCGAAAAAGTTCCGGAAAATGAAGTCTATCTATCGAGGACGACCTTTCGTTTTCGTTGGACTGGAGCTCTACTAACTATGATGGCACGTAATCTCGAAAAAATTCCGACAGGACATTTTAGTTGATCTTGAGTGGATCTTGAGTCTGTTAACTTTCTTTTCCATTGTTCACATTTCTTGTAAGATACGTTCACAAAAACTATCATCCTTCAAAAAGTAATGTTTACTTAAGTGTGACGTAAGATCATGCGATTCTCTGTCGATTAAGCTTCCCTAAGAAACCCAGGCCTAGAAGAAAGCTGTGAGGGTCACTTGCAGAGGCAAGCCAGTGAATTGTTCTTTTGTGTGTGTCAGGCCTTTTTGGAAGTAGGGTACTCAATCCCAAAATTTAAACTAAGTATAGTAATGAGTAACTAAAAAAATGATACAATTTAAAAACAATTTAACAGAAAATTGTTAAAATTAGCATTTATCAAAAAAATTCAAACATCTCGCACCGCAAACCTTCAGTCCTGCAAAGAACAGAAAATTCGCCTCGAATTCAAAATAACTCGAATGCCTTGGAGTAAACAGGGAAAAAAAGCTTGAGTTACCAGGAGCTCTAGCCATCATAAAACTGAGATAAAGGATCAGAAGTGAAAAAAAATACAGTGTTTACCGAGAAATTATAATTATAATCTCTTGTGTTTACTTATAAATTCTTTTCTTACAGCGCACATTTTGATCCAATTCTATTTCAGAGAAGAGAAGTTGAGTAAACATGGAACATTTTGCCTAAGAAATAAAAACGGAAATGGAAGGAATTCTCAGCTGCTTCAAAATGATCCAACGTTTAGGACTAATGTACTGATTTTCATGACTTATCTTGTGTTGACTATTCAGTTATCGAGGGTCCAATTATACAGAAAAACTCCTAAAAGAGAAACGAAAAAATTCAGGTCAGAGGTTGACCAGGATTCAAGTGACAGCGAATAAATCATGCAGGCAATAAATGCATGATATAAATCCAGGAAAATCGCCAGTTTTTGGCTCGAGTAAGTTATTTAATTTCAGGCTCATCGCCGTGTCTGAGTAATCTTGGCTTTGTGATTCAGCGTCAGATTTCATTTGTGCATTACTGATGCTTCAAATCTCCCAGAATTGTGCTTACAACGAAGGGATTATATTCCTTTGCGCTAATTGAGATGATTGAGCGGAATTCCTCTAAACAAAACTCACTTTATCAAGAGCAAACGTTGACTGCAGTAAGCTCCTTGAGCCAATTTCTTGGGAAAATAGAGCTTTATTTGGGTGAAAAAAGGTCTAATCGAGAATAAGAGGGGTTTTGGCGAAAAGACTGATGTTACTCCTGTCTCCTTAAGCTTGATATGCAATGCCGCCTTAAATTTTAAAAACGGAAATCAAGCTAGTTACTCCTTTTTTATCATCTTCAGAGCTTAAACCTTGACATTTTGATCTTTTGTTTGTCGAGAGCATCGAACAGTTACTGTAAAATTTTAGAAAATCATAACCTGGCGAAGAGAACATCAGATCACTGCGAGTACGCAACTGAAGTACGGCTTTAATAAATATGCAGTCGTGACAAATTATGGATGCTTTTTTTCTCCATAATTGAAAATGTGAAAATTGATTTAACCATACTGATGGCATTTCATACGCGTTCTTTCGATTCGTTTCCGCCGTTTTTAGCTTGATGCTATACATTTTATGTGAACTACGCACAATAAACAGAGTATATTTGTTTGTTCGGATACAGTCAGAATTTCTATCAGTCGGTTGTTAAGTAATTGTTGGTTGTCAAGTACTGCAGTGAAGAGACTCGATGGCGCAGAGAAAACAAGAATTCTTAAGAGGACTAAACCGTTCTGAAGAATTAAACGGCCGCAAAAGTACAGTTTCGATACACCGTGGAAACCCTGTGCTTCTTTGACAAAAAGAATATTAGATCAACCTACATTGTAGTAGGCGTAAAGCGACTCTTCGTCATAATTTGCTTAGATATGATGAAATAATCGAAATTATTTGACAATTCAGTTTATTCATCATGAATTCTATTTCGGAAGGCTATAACATTAACACAGTACTGCCCAAAACTTTATCAATATACACACTGACACAAAATGAAAGAACAAAAAAAGTTACTCTGACTTCATCTAAATCATGTTAAAGCCCGGACCAATCATCAGAGGCAACTCGAATAATAAGTAAAAAAGATGCGATTTTCTAAAATTTTCTTGGTAGTTCATATCTTAACTTACGTTAGCTAATATAAACATCTACTAATGGTGTTTAAGAGAAATAAAACTGTTACCTTAACGTAAGTCGAATATTCACTCATTCGTTCTTCTTTAATCACCACTCAAATCTCTAGACGTACCTATGATGTTTTGTCGGCCGTTTGAAATTATTCGTATAGTGATTGTCGGCCGGTTTGAAACGAGATCGATTGTTTTCAAAACCGTCAGCCACGGCAACGGAAAACGTTAAGAATTCTGGGATTTGCAGGTGACGGTTATTTAGTTTTAATTTCAAATGTCCTATTCAATTGCCGAAAGCGCGGTTCTACGCTACTGAGTTCAGCCCTCACCTCAATTTTTTTTTTCGCAAATCCTCGCCTAAGCAGGACCAATCGATTCCACTGAGTCAAACGGCAAATAGGAAGTCTCACTGTTCGCTGGGAGTTTCCCTAGCGGGAGTCGTCGCAATAAGTATAACTTGAGGCTGTCACTTGATAAATATTAATAAACCACGAAAATGAAAACATGGATATACAGAACGATAAGAAACAAATTGGCGCCCGTTTATCTTACAGTGAGGTTTTCTGTAAAGATGAAATCGTTAACCCACAATCAATATTATCAGATGTTTTTTCAATACCCCGAGCATTTTACATATTTACTTCTGCATTTGTATCTTGTTGCCATTGGTCCGTAGAAAACAATTTTAATATTTTAATATTTGAAATTTGAAAACGTACCTTAAAATTAATATAATCTGCCACTGTTCAAACAGAAAAGCTTTGAAATAAATTGTTATCACTTATTCATTCTGTTAAGCTTAAATCTGACGCGTAAAATTCACAGTTCAGGAAGAACTAAATCATTACTTGCCACAATTTTTCTTCTGCTCGTTTCGATTCATTAGCATATATCATAATTATTCATGGTTGGAATGGAAAGGGAATCATCGAACTTACGTACCTCAATTAGCGGATCTCAAGAATTATCTTTTGACACATCTTTGCCTGCACGAAATAAAACAAAAGTTTCTTGATAAAAGACTTAGGAACATTTATTTTTTGTCTTTCACAGTTGCATCTTTGGCGGTCTCACATCACTCCATTAATTTTATTATCGAATTTACGAAAAAGCTTTAAACAGAAAGGTATTTTTTTCAACGGACAAATGACTTTTTTGACAACTGTACTGAGACGCCTTTATCTATGAATTAATATTTGAATGAAGAATGATCTTTTAGCGTGCGCGTATTAGCCTTCTCTCAGTTGGTGTTAAGAGCTTGAAAGCTTTTAAGTGCCAATGAAGTCAGTCGGGTATATCATTTGCAATGTAGAAAATGAAACAAGCTATTGGATGAGCATTATCTCGCGATATTTGGAGAATTAGAAGAATGAGAAAACAGTCCTTAAATATGTTAATGCCTATATCTTTTAAAGTGAACTTTCAATTGTGTAAAAGTCGATTGGAAATGGCCATTTCTACGTCTACGGCGATGAAGATGTTCATAGCAACGAGGCTGAAAAATACAGGGCATAGAGTGCGGAGGTGTGGGGCGAGGCTTGGTAGAGATTGGACCTCCTGCTATTTAAAAGCGCCGGCAGAAAAATGCCGAAGTGGTTAGACATTATTAATTCAAAGTAATGCAACCCTCGATTCTACCGTGAGATCGTAATTAATTCACTTACTGAAAAATTATCTGTTTAATATTTAGATTTTAAAAGAGAGCCACTTCCAATTTGTGCAAAAGGGTTATACTGTCCTAGGGAAAGGGGAAAAAAAAGTTTTTCCCCAACAAAACTTACAAGTCCTCTCTTCACGGTTTTCTCGTTGCGTTGCTTACTATTTTTTTGTTGTTAATTTTGCTCTTTTTTGTTTTTGTTTTTCTCGTTTGTTTTGTTTTAGGAGACTTTTTCTCCTTGATTTTGCTTTTTTGAATAAAAAGACTTTCCACGAAAACTATGCCTAAGACTAATTTGCAAGCTAGTGTGGATGGCTCACGAGGTACAATAGAAAGTTCACTGTATTTAGGTTTACCTTACAGCCGCTGACTTGTATAAGTTTTTCTTGGATATTGAAAACAAGTTTTCATGGACAAGTAGCACTTGCCATGCAAAGCTTGATGGTACATGTTAATTTCAAAAAATGGCGCCGAAAGAAGGTTTGGCTCATACTTGGGAATGGGCCGAGCCCTAACTTCAACACAGTTCCTTCGCCTCGGGCTAACGGTAAACAAAATGGAGATGTTAGACATGCTGTTGAGATTCGAAAACTATATGGACAACCATAAGAGTTGGAAGATCTATGAGATATAGGGGCTGTGAGGTTTTAAAGCCAGATCGTTTGGCTAACGTTTCGAATAGTATCAACATACCACCTCAGAAATTATTTTTTTATCCTCTAATTTGCCTTCGCAACCAATTTTGAAATACTCACCACGATCTTTTTGTTTGTGGCGAAGTGAGCTAAGTGTAATAGCTAAGTCTGGACCCAAAAATTCTGAAGAAATGTTACCTTAGTTCTAATCCTCGGCGGCTGCTTACTCATCAAGGCAGACTGAGTCACGAGACAAGGTAACTGACTCAAGTCGAACTTTTTATCGAATCACATACAAACATAAAAAAACTTAGTTAACAGAAGGAGGTTGAGAGCATCTCAAGTTTAAATCTATCATTAGTTATGAACCTTTTCGACATTAGAATTTAAAAAACACACAGTAGATCGCGTGACTGGAACTAAACCGGAAGTGATACAAAAGTAACATACTTCACAGCGGAAACACGTTTACCCTTATGTCCAAATATAGAAAACAGTCGTGACGTGTCTTACGCACAATATGGCGGACGCAGCCGCTCTTTCTCAAGCCCAAAGCTATATTTCTGAGCGTCGCGGTTAAATACAGACCACAAGCATATTTCCACATAACAATGACTTGCCTTTAAGATGAGGAATATCAGTCATGTCTCTTTTGAAGAAAGGAGGCTACACAAGTTATGTTTCAACGCGCTCAGAAGATGACTCGGTAATTGATCATGAAATACAAAATGTCTCGTCATCCCGGGTTTATATCTTTGGGAATGATCGAGCAGAAGAAGTTGGGATCGAGGATGGTTCCGTGGAGATGACAGAGCTTAGACCAAGGAGTAGAAACAAGAGATCATATGCATCCACTAAAATAGCCTCTAAACAGTCTAAGAAGACGGAAACTATCGATCGTGAGATTCAACCCTCTGATACCATTCAAAGTTTCTCTTTACAATACGGTTGTACGGTACGTATACGTGATTTTCATACTTATTTCAATTTAATTTGTTCTGCTTTTTGTATTAATTTATATATTGTATAAAAATGTATGCTAAGACGAAAATAAAAACTGATATATCATGCGCATATGTTCCAAGGTTAAAAATATGAGTTCAGTCAATAATTAGCTTGGATTGTAATGGGGAACTAGCGCTGATTCATTGTGTCAACTGGTCTCATTTTATTCCCGTCAATGCCGTCTTGAAGTGATTATGTTGTTTTATATCTTCATGATTGACCAAAAATCTTTTCAAACGTGTGTGTAAGCGTTTTTTTTGTTATGATCAGAAACACCATGCCCTTATGTTCGACTCATCCTTTTCAGTTTGAGGGCGAAGACGGAAAAAAATTTATATTGGTTGCCATAGCAGTTTTTCTTGGTGTGATGAATACTGGTAAAAATGATGTGGTAAAGGGTTGCAGTAAGGTTATAGAATAATGTTGAGTGTTGGCAATCCTGATCTGCTTAATTTTAAGAATTACATAATCTCCTCTATTTTAGACCTCCAACCTGTATGGCGTGCTGTATGAGACAATATTGTTGGCGCAAAAATAAAGTGCAAAAGTTAAATATATATGTCATGGATCAAATAAATATGATATGAATGGAATATATGTGGCATGGACCAAATACGATATAAATATGGGGCAAATGCCCAAAAAATATATATGGTTATTGTGCCCATTGTAAATTTGGTCAGCAAAAGATTGATAAAAAAGTAACATGGCGGCCTGTGACAGGATAGATGATTTAGAGCAATTTTTCGAGAGATCTATTCCATCCCTTTTTTGTCGTCCTTATTTGATCCATGCTATATATAAGTAACTTGCATTTTATTTTTTGGGCACACAATATTGCCCTATATGGCACCCGATAAACCTGTGTCCATAAGCAAATATGTGCTACAGGAATAAACTAAGACAAAGAAAAATAGAAGCACTGTTAATCACTTGAATTGAAGAAAAATTCTGTTTATTGTTTTTGCAATTGGTAATATGTTTGCCATGATTTCTTATCCAAATAAATTTCCAATTGGAAAGAAAAAATTGTTTGGCAAAATAAATTTTTTGGTGCAGGTTCTTGTATTTACTTTAATCAGTAAATAAGCCCGTTCAGGCAGCTCTAATGTCAGCTGATGATTTCTGTGTCTGTAAAAAAAGAATATTTGGACAAGAAGCAAAGCTCTGAGGACAGATGTGAAATTCTTTGGATAATCTCACTGCCAAGGACATTATTATCACTCAACATACTAGCAAGCAAGAAGGGGTTCATTTATCCTTTAATCCTCCCATTCATTTTTCTTCCATTTGAAGTAAGAAAGGTAAAAACTGAAACTCTTAAGTGGCTTTTTTCCATTGGCTTTGTTTCCTTTTGTGGAAGTAATGGGGAAATCATTGGAGAACAAATATTGGTGTAGATGAGGGTGATCACGTGGTAACATTCTGGCTATTTTGCACCACATGACCTAAGTAGCCAATAGAATCACTTGAACACTAATGGGTAGATTATAATTTGGATTAACTGATTTATTATGGCTGATAAATGTTGACATAGAACATTTTTATTTCCACAGATTGCAGAGCTGAAGAAGGTTAACAACCTTTACAGTGATCAAGATTTTTATGCACTTACCACCATTAAAATCCCAGTCCAACCACATGGGATATTGACTGAAGTTTCTGACAAAAAGCAAAAACCACCACCTCTCAAAATACCAGGGAACCAGCCTTCCACGTCAGGGGCAGATAACGAGAATGAGAACGATGAGTCTGATTATGATGACATGGAGCCTAAAGGAGAGTGTGTTAGAACTGTCAGTATCCGCTCTGCTCTTGACTCACCAAACAGCTTTTTACAGCACATGGACAATGATCTTAAACTTATTTGCAAATCAACACCTCTGCGGAAGAGTAATCTTGATGAAGTCACAAGAACACTGACAATTAATTGTATAAACCCTATAAAACTCAGAAAACAGCAAGAAAAGACACTTGGTGCTGCTTGCGGCATTGGATGGAAGGGAGTACTGGTACTTGTTTTTATTGTTGGTCTAGTACTGCCTGGATTTGTTGCCTTTTTATATCTCAGAAAGAAGTATACAGATCAGGACCAAAGTTCTGGTAATAGCTGACCAAAATATATTTTTATATTTATGGCACATACTGACCCAAATTTTGACTATTTAAAACCCTTTGTACAAAAGATTGAATGATACAATTTTAGAAATGAAAGTGAACAAGAAAACAGAGTTGAGTTCAATTGGTGATATACACAGTCAAATTAAAAGGTTAATTTTATGAAAATTTACAATGATAGTGAGATTTAAGTTGCAAAGTTATATAAAAAATGTAATTTCTGATCAGATGTCAGCTTCCACTATGGTTTTCTGGGGGATTCCATAAGTGGGGTGGGATGAGATGGGTCATATGGAAAGTACAATATTGTTAAATGCTTCTAAGCACTCCTTACCTGTGTGTAAGCTTAGGACATTTTTCCAGTTGTTCCAAACCATACTGGATGACTATAGTTTCTTTTGTGTTGCCTTGGACTTATTCCCATCCTAACAATCTAGGTGAAAACTAATTCATCCCACATGAGGATCTTTTCAGCTGAGTGTGTGTAGTTAACTTTGTTTTCCCTGGCACTGGCATTTTGCCATTCAGTTGGAACACAGCTTATCACATCACTTTGTGAAACACACAAATAAGAAATAAGGAAGGAGGCTTGGTTCAAAACTTTAAAGCAATTTGGACCACAACCCTTAATCCATAGGGCTAGCCAAACAGATCAAGGCTATCTGGGGTAGACTGTCTTTACTGCCTTTGCCATCCAAGATTCATGCACATGACTAGTTCTAACAAGCCCCCATGTAGCATGCTTAAATGAAGTATTATTGTTGTTCTTGTTGTTGTACTCAAATGTCCAACTAATTTTGCAAGGCAACCAAAATTATTAGTAACAAAATGTTCCTGGAATAGTGCATTCTCTCAACTTAAAGAGTAAGTTTGCGAAGTAACCATTAAGGAGTTAGAGTTATCATATCATCTTTGCTTCCATTAACAGCTGAACAGTACATAATTATAAGTTATCAATGGTAGATTACAATTGTAATGAAGACACCTGCTGCTTTTTTTTTTTTTTAACAAGTCATGCATCAATATCTGAGTTGTTGTTTAAAAACACTGTCGTTTCAAAGGGCTACTACTGTTTGTCAAGTATTAATTTATTGAGAAATTTTTAGTAATAAAGGAATCTCAAATGCAGTTAGACAGTATTGGTTGAGTTAGCATTGTTTTCTTTTCTCTCCACACTGTAGCCAGTGGGTTTTAGTTTTCCATGCCAAGTTATACAAGATGCCACCTGTAGTCTCTGTAGTCATGATAGGGATCATCGGACACTTGCACATATTATAACATAACCAAAGTGCGCGCTCAAGAAGCTAGAGTCGCTCTCGGCTATCGCCTCGAGCGACTCTTACGCTTCTTTCGTGCTTAGCAACCTCCCATGTGCATCCATAACTCAATGGTGTACGCTGTGGTGTTTACCATTTGTTAATAGATGCCTGATATCTGGGCTTCTGTAGTGTCAAAATGGAATGCAGGCAGCGGTAGCTGTCTCTTTTAACCACCCATGTATTTTTCCTTCCTCTTTTCCCCTAGTTTCCCTCTTCCTCAGCTGTTCCTTTTTCATTTTTCTTTTTTTGTCAGACGAAATCCACACCCATTGGCTTATTTTTATGATATAAAGTTCTCAAAATCCAGAGCAATGATATTTAACAATTATTCGCCGAAGGCAAGGTGAATATCGTCGAATAATTCCCGAGACAAAGTCTCGGGGATTATTCGACAATATTCACCGAACCTGAGGCAAATAATTGTTTTAGCATAATTTCAGACCTGAACAACAGAGAAATTTCTAAAGTCATAACATTTTAATAACATTTATTATTAAAAACTAGATCATT